TAACAATACTAGAGTAGGCAGGAAGTATGGATGGGCAACTTCCAAATAGTGCATTGAGGACAGAAAGACTTGGAGAGTCACCCAAAGTCTCACAGCAATGTTGGTACAACCAGTTTTGGCTAAGGCCTAGAGTATCTGACAGACCACAATAAAATCAGGGGGGTAGAAACATCGTCTTACACTGACTTGGCTAGGTTCAGCAGTTTTCTATGGTTATCTCCTGCAAGAACATAGGACTGCATGTCCAAATCAGTGGTTAAGGTGGGGGCAGTTCTTTGCCCAAGAGTCCATTAGCCAAAGTTAAGATGGACTCCAGAAAGAATGACAACAGTGTTCAACCTATTTTCAGGAAAGTACATGATACTGTCAGGAGCAATAGTGTCTCATGTCAACAGAGTACTAATATTAAAACATGTAAATGTCATATTCTGCAGATCTATGAAGTGTTTGAAGATTAAGCATCTATGTCTGACTATTCTCATAGGTAAAGGAAACATGGGCAAAGATAGTCTGCAACACTCAGGAACCTAGCTATAAAACGGATTGAAATTTCCCTGAGTAAAGCAGGGACAAATACATAAACTATGTAACTATGTCTGTATATATACATGTAAATCCCTAAAACAAAGGCAGAGTAGAACTATAAAGTTCAGCATAATAAAAATATCCTAAATTGTATCGCTATACAAATATCTTTAACATAAGTAAAAGTATACATACATATAATGTGGTAAGGATAATGTACATAAACATCATAAGTGGAGAGATTTTACACAATATGACAAAATATAATATATAATTCATCTGGGAAGGGAATATAAACTTAATTTTACATTTGTTACCACATATAAGAATCTATAACAATGTAAGCTATATAATACTAATATCTGACTATTACTGAAAGAATTCACAAGAAGATAGGCTAATCTACCTACATCCCATCAAAACTATACCTTTCCCAACTATACTCTATCTCTCTCTAAAAGATACCCAAGTCTAAGCATCACCTTCCATACCCAACCCTAAGTAACTAAAACCAACCCTAAGAAGATGAATATTATCGATAAATGCCAAGAGTATGGAAAGGGGACAATTTTATCTTAAGATTACTTCCTGATGAAATGGAACAATAGTTGCTCCATGGGATCCTATAGGAAGAACATTTTTAGCAACCAAATGTAATGACAGGACTGGCTGTGACATATGCAGCTAGTCTCTGTGTGGCTGGAAATGTTTTCCTGGAGTTCTGTATGAAACTCTGGCCAGGGTGTAATAAGGTGCACCATTTCAGCTAGATAGTCAGGAGTCGTCTCCAGCAAAACAATCTCAAACCAGTTTTAGGGTGATGTTTGTAGTCCAGATGCACCACACTGAGTCAAGTGGAAATGCAGAAGAGAGGCCTCATCTTCTTTCCAGAAAAATCAAAGACTGCTGTTAAGAAATGTTATTGTTCCTTGTGGAAAACTTATACATCAATACCAACATAAAAATTTCAACTTTTATAGGTATGCACATTGGGAAAAGCAAGATTAAGCATGAAAACAAGTATGTGGAAAATTAGGATTTCAGAGAGAAAACTGAGTTTAGACAAATGCAAATTCCCAATTTTGTTTTCTTCTTAGACCAATTGCCTTCATATATATATATAAGAATTATATATTGGTACCATACATCAGATTCCACTTTGTTAGATGGTTCTTTCTGAAGAGCTGTCTTCTCTTATGTAAGTACCTACATGTTCAGTGTCTTTTGGCTGTTTGAAGATGAGTATTTTCTGTCTTCCTGTAAAGGCTAGCCATTTAGGAAAGATACTGCTCTTCTGACATACAGGACCCACAGAAAAGTGACTGCTGATACAAGACGGACATTGCTACAGTGTTCCTGCTTATGGAATAGTCTGCCAGACATTCTACAGGACACACACAAAAAAATGACTGACTAACTGCCAATACAGGTTGACAGTTTAAAGTTTCCTGATTTGCTGAGGAGTCTGTCAGACACACTATGGCCTATAGGTTGAAGACAACATTACAGAAGAACTTCAGGTGAGTGACCAGGTAGCCAGATGTCTCTATCATTTCTAGAGTTTATATATTATTCTTCTTTGTTATTTGATGAAGTTGCAGACAGATAACTATGGTTATAGTTTTCCTTAGATAAGATTAAAGATAAGTTACATATAGGACTTTAGACTCACAAAGTTAGGATAGATGATAAAATATTTTCTTTAAATCTTGCTAAATGTTAATGGACTAAATATTGTTCACAGAGGTTCTTGTTTGATAACTGTTTTGTTTTATATTTTCCTATGTTAAGTTTAAAACCCTTCTTTTTATTTTAGACAGAAAAGAGGAGATGATGGGAGATGTCATTCTGTAAATATGTTTCTCTTATTAGTTAGTGAATAAAGCCCTGTCAGCCAACAGGAGAGCAAGATAGGAGGGACTAGGAAACAAGAAAGATTCAGGGATAGATCAAGGAGGACATTCAACATGTAGGACTTGAGAGAACAGAGGTTCAGGTCCTCTCTCCAGTAAAATATACAATGTGGAAATACTTAAATTAACAGAAATTGGTTAATATTTTAGACAGAGCTAGCAAATAAGAAATGGTAGTAACAGGCCAATAGCTTTATATCAATACAGTGTCTCTGTGTGATATCTGGGGCTGACACAGCTGTGGGACCAGACCGGCAGAAAAACCATGCTCATAACACAAGTATAGTTAAGACTTCTTGCATACATAACAGCTCTGAAAACTCAATTACAAGAAACAAATCATTACCTAAATGTGGAAAAAAATATCATTCAAAATCAAGTGATGTGTATAACAAAAATAGTAGCTTAATATTGTTCTTCTCATTAATTTTAAGAAATATGTCTAAGTATCTTGCAACTTTAATTTTTATTATACTGATATTTGTACATAAATGTATAAAATTATTTCCCTTAGATGTATCCAAATATAAGCCTATTTATATATTCAACTCCAAAATACTATTAAGCTACTCAACCATTTCTGAGAGAACCAAAATATGCCTGTACCAAATAGTTCAGACTGATTATTCAGACCAAGAGTAAATGCCTAGCTTTTAACAAATTTTGGTGGACATAGATAGCCTCCCCTGCCAAATTCGTATAGTAACATTTCAGTATTCTCAGAATTTTCTTCCTACCATTCAAGACACTTTAATTTTTTGTCAATTTATTTTGGGAGTTATTAGTTTTGTTTTGTTTTGTTTTGTTTTTTGTCCATAATGACAGTACAGTTTTGAATTGCACTTGAATATAATGCCTTTGTTTAGTTTTTATTATTATCAGCTTGATAATATCTAGAGTCACCAGGTAAAGCAGAAGCTTAATTGAAGAAATTTTCAGCTTAGAATATGGCTACAACCATGAAGAACTGTCTTGATTTGTTGTTGTTGCTTGAGTGTTAAGCCAACCATGGTCAGTACAAACTCTAGGCACCTGGGAGTGGACTCCATAAGAATGCTAACAGAGAGCATTTTGTATTTTCCCATTGCAATAGAAAACTAAAGAAAAATAGAAATAAAACTCCCTCTCTGAAGCAGTTGTAAACTGTTGAGGAAAAATGCAAATTCAAGACAGTTTTTCAAATTTTAGAATATCTGTACTGTTTTCTGAAATTAATTTTGAAAATATTCAACATAATAATAATACTAATGAAACATTAATTCAAGAAAATTTGGTAGTGTCCTTGCCCTTTATGTTAGAAATTTCAGATGAAAGTTTATACATACTGTGATGAATTATGTTCCATAAATTATATCTAATTTGTTATAAATGCTTTGTACACATTAAGTTTTTGTCTTCTCATTTTTTCCTTATAAATTAGGCACTCATACAGCCTATTTTTATTTTATTTCTTGCCAACCTATTGAGGCAAATCGTAGTCTATAAGTTTCTATGGATATATTGCCTGTTGACAGATGGGGATTATAAATGGTAAATGTCCATTGATTTATATTTAATATAAGATAAAAAGTAATCTTTGATTCAGATGGCAGATATTTCTTCATGTTTGAGTAATACCCACAGCCATGGAAGATGCCATTGTGCCAGATTTAAATAAAATCTTAAATATGGGTTTAATCTACAGGGTACATTTTTTTAATGTTGTAAGGTATCACTTAACAATTTAAGAATCAACTCAAAGCTTTAACATATTTGTACCATAAATATTGCTTAAAATGTGTATTTCTGTGTTGTATATGTTCTTTTTGATGTATTTTTAACCAGACTTCAAATAGATAAATATAAGGGTATTTATTTTATTTTTTCTACTCAGAGTTTCTCTGTGTAGCTTGTAGACCAGGCTGGCCACAAACTCACAGAGATCTGCCAGCCTCTGCCTACTGAGTGCTGGGATTAAAAGCATGCACCACCACCATCCAGGAAGTATAAGGATTTTATTCCAGCAAACCATCAAATTGCCTTAAATTAGAAACTTTTAAATCAAATTGTCCATGTAAATTCAGACCCAAATACTTCTATGTTTAATTTTTTACGTTAAACATTAGAAATCTGTGCAGTTAAAATTATGGATTCACATATGATTATATTTATTAATTTCCAAATACTTGTGATAGAATATAAAACTTTAATTGTTGTAATGGAAAATAATTAAGGAGAAATACCTGTTTATGTGTTTTGCATGGTTCATATGCTTGGTGTTTAACAGTGGGAATTTGTCTTTTATTGCTTTTGCTTAAATATGGCTAATAACTGATTACCATATAAAATAAAGCAGAATGAATCCTTGATTAAAGTAACAGAAAAAAAGAAAACAAAGGAGTAGCAGTGTATGTATTCCCCATTATACTTCGACACCATGGCAGTACATTATTTTGACACAAGACAATCCACTCTTTTAGTAAAAAGAACATTATACACTGTGTGTCACCATACCTACACTAAAGACAAAGCAGAACTGTGTGTCAAAACAGAAGTGCAGTTCTCAAACTGTCCCAGTCTTACCTCTGTCTCGGCAGGCTGATGAGGGGCTGTTTGTGGCACCGTTTGCTAAGGCTAAAGAGCTTGTGGACAATTCTATGTGCCTTTAGGAAAAGCTGTTTCATGCTGTTCTCCAGTTGTTCATAGCGGCGCTGAAAATTAGAATCCATTGTCCACAAGTGCATGATTGTTGATGTGTTCAGGAAATAATTCATGGGTAGTCTTTTCATGAAGAACTTGAATTCATCTGGAATATAAGGAAATTCAACATTTTAATTATAAAACAATTATTTTGCTCCATCCAAAACAAATCTAACACACTTAAAAATGTTAAAGGTTTAATATTATTGAGTAACAAAATAATAAAACATGATATTTGAGGAATTTAAGACATTTTGTTTTGATCTTCTTTAGATAGAAATTTCATAAAAGAACATAAAAATAACTAGCAAAGAACAATAGTTTTGGCAGAAAATTTAAATCCGATGTGTTTTCTATATTCTTCCTTTTCTGGTATTTGAACAAAATCTTTATAATATATGATATATATTATCACATATTAGGCATTAATGTAAATCTGTGTTTGTATTCTGGAAATTTTTCAGATATATTCATTAAATCACTGCAGAAACATTTCTGAGATTCATTACCAAGTGAATTCCATAGACAGCAATTTAAGTAGATGATTTTAGTATTTAGCTATGCCCTTCTCTTCCATTGTTCCTATTTGCTGCTCATGACATATAATTTTAAAACATGAATATAATAATAATCACTTAAAAAGTTTAAAATGCCACCACTAGCTATTTTCTTTCTGTCAATAAATATCATGCATGATATTCCTTTCATATCAAGTAATTAGCCTTCAGGAAAAATAAGATTTGGTGCTACATGATGATAAGGGAAATGGCTCAGCAGGTAAGAACACTTCACCAAAAACATGAGAACCTGATTTTAAAATACTCAGAATCCTTGTAAAGTCAGTCATAGATATATGTGTGCACATAATTCAAAAACTATGGAGGATACAGTAGGATTTCTGAGGACGGCTGACTGGCAACCTTGCTCTAGGTTCAGTAGCGGACACCATTTCTAGGTGCTAAGGTGGAGAGTAATGGAACAGTGTACCAGATATTCTCCTCAAGTCTTCACATGTGTGCTTGTAAGTTTGTGTACTCACAATCATATACCATATACATTCTCTCTCTCTCTCTCTCTCTCTCTCTCTCTCTCTCTCTCTCTCTCACACACACACACACACACACACACGAAGTGGGGTCAGAAAGAGTGAAAGAGTTCAGGTTGCAGAAAAACAAATGATATAAAAACAATCCATTTATTGGCTTGAGGGATGCCTCAGCTTTTAAAAGCTATGCTTACAACAAAAATTCTGAAACATATGTTTATTATACAAACATACGAGACAGATGACCAAGTACTCTTAAGGGAGAAACAAGAAAACTGTACATTAACAGACATTCCAATATATACCATGGTATACACATATATTATTTAGCCATAGTAATTAAGAACATCATGTGCTTCTGCATAGTTTAACTTATTTAGCATTGCTGCCCTTCCTTTTCCAAATAATTACAATTTCATATGAGAAATGATAATGTTCCATTTATAATGTTGGGAATGTAATTAACAATGCTAAACCACAGACCTAAAGTTACATTTTTATTTTATATATATATATATATATATATATATATATATATATGTGTGTGTGTGTGTGTGTGTGTGTACATACATATATATATACACATATATAATGCAAAGGGTGAAAAGGCACATTAGCATTTAGAATTCTCAAAATATATATTTTAATTGCATAACTCATTTATATAAAGGATCTTTATTTTTGAAGTGATCTTTCAGCATTCTTATGTAGTTATTTAATAGGTTTCCATCAACATATATAGAATTTTTAGAATTTTTAAAATTTAGAATTTAGAATTTTTAAAAAGAAAAACTGACACACGCCTGGGAATTTAGAAAAATAAAACACAGTTTAGTCACTCTTCTATCACAATGTTACTGAGTAGTAATGTAACACCTCAACTTCCTGGGATCTAGTTTGATTTTATAGAACTGTCTAGAAAACACACATAAAAAAATTAAGATGTCATTTGATTTTGAAATTCTGTGTTAGCACAGACAGTTTTTATTATGAAAATTTTGTTTTTAGGTTATTAAGTTCAAACATAATTTGAAAATATCTGGTTCTATTGGTTATGTTTTATAATTCAGTTAGATCTCTGGAATATTGTTACTGAGGTTCCTATTTCTGTGATAAAACTCCATGACCAAAAGCAACTTGGGGAGGAAATGTTTTGTTTCAGCTTACAAGTGTCAGGTCACACTCTGTCACTGCACTAAGTCAGTGGAGGAAATGAAGAAAAAAATAAAATAAAGTAAAAACTGTAATGAGTAGGGTTTTTCTGCCCGCCGCCTGGTCTTGTCCCGCCGCCTTGCCAGCCCCAAATAACACATTGAGACTCTGTATTAGATATAATTCTGTTGGCCCGGTTACTTGTTTCTTATCGGCTAGATCTGTCTTAAATATTAACCCATTTCTGTGTATTTCCACATGGTCTTACCGAGAGCGGAGGAATGGCTGGAGAGGATGTGGAAAAGGGATACACCCCTCCACTGTTGGTGTGAGTGAAAATCCATACAGCCATTTTGGAAATTAGTATGGGAGTTTCTCAGGAAAATGGGACTCAGTCTATCTCAAGATACAGTAATTCCACTCTTACGCATATACCCAAAAGATGTGTTTTCATAGAACAAGGACATCTGTTCAACTATGTTCATAGGAGCATTGTTTGTAATAGCCAAAACCTGGAAGCAACCTCAACTGAAGAATGGATGAAGCTAATGTGGTACATTTACACAATGGGCTACTACTCAGCAGAAAAAAAAACAAAGAAACAAAAAACAAAACAAACAACAACAACAAAAAAAAACCAAACTAAAAAAAAAAAAAAAATGGAATCTTGAAATTCACAGACAAATGGATGGAACTAGAAGAAACCATCCTGAGTGAGATAACCCGTCCCAAAAAGAAAAACACCACCGTATGTACTCACTTAAATATGGCCTTTAGACATAGAGCCAAAGATAACCATCCTACAGTCCACACTGTCAGAAAAGGTAGGAAGCAAAGAGGACCCTGGAGAAGAGGAAAAGGACAAGATTTCCCATGCAAATTGTGAGCATAGGGGGAGGGGAGATGGAATTAGTGAGAAAAGGAGGGCAAAGAAGGGCATGGTGGGGCAGGAATATTGAGTCAGGGAAGGAATAGAAACGAGCAAAAAAATAAATACTATAACAACAACAACAAAAAAATGCCATTTAGGTTTAAGAGAAATCTGGCACCACGGAACTGTCATGAGATCTACAAGGATGACCCCAACTAACAACCTAAGCAATACTGGAGAGGCTCCTTAAATGTCCTTCCCTTATAATGAGATTGAGGACTACCTTATATGCCATCCTAGATACTTCATCCAGTAGCTGATGGAAGCAGACACCCATAGCTAAACACTGAGTCAAACTGTTGGAATCCAGTTGCAGACAGGGAGGAGTGCTGAGCAAAGGGGTCAAAAACAGGTTGGAGACACTTGCAGAATCAACTAACCTGAACAAGGTGGAACTCATACTCCACTCTGATAGCTGGGAAACCAGTCAAGGACCAACACAGATTACCTGAATGTGGTGTTGCTTGAGAGAATAGGGAAGTCTATGTGGTCTCTAGTAGTGGACCAGTATTATACTTACTATAGGATTGGACTTTGGGAGCCGATTCCACATAGAGTGATACTCCTTCAGCCTAAACACCTCTGCTTCAAATGATATGTCAGACTTTGAAGACTCTCTATGGAAGGCCTCACCCTCCCTGGGGAACAGAGAGGGGAGAGGATGGGGGTTGGTTGTGGGAACAGGGGAGGAAGAGTGTGGGAACTGGGATTGACATGCAAAACAACCTTGCTTTTAATTAAATAAAACATATATATTAAAAACAATAAAAACTGCTAGATGATGTTTTCATAAAATTTTCTATAGATTTCTGACAACTTCCTGAAAATGTTATATTGAAACTCACTATTGATTCCTTAAATTACACACACACAACACACAGAGAGAGAGAGAGAGAGAGAGAGAGACAGAGAGAGAGAGAGAGAGAGAGCAAGAATTTAAATGGATATACCCTCTATCAGGGGAAGCATATTCTAAGGAGACAAAAAAAAAATAAAACAAACAAAATAAAACAAAGCAACGACAACAACAACACACACACACATATTCCAAGATATTGTGGTCAAAAAGGGAAGTTGTACATATGAACTCACACAAATAATGAAACCATGGATAAAATCGATACAAGCTCAAGCCAGAAGCTGACAAAATCCCTGCTGAATGAACTATAGGAATCTTCTCTGCCAGGAGAGGAAGTGGCAATTTTCTGTAATGGTATATTACCCCATGCCAGGACAGTCCCAATTTCAAGGGTAACTGGGCAATAGAAAATTGTTTGAAATAACAGAGATATAAAGAGAACACAAAGTTGAGTGATTAGTTATGTTTGGGTGTTTCTGAGAGGATTTCAATGAAAGTGATTCAAATAGACTGTGACTATCTCAAGGCATTAATAAAAAATATTTGAAAAATTTATTTGTGCCACAAATTTTATATGTCTTTTAAGACAGGTATTCTTTATAACTGAAGCACAGCCTACTTAAAGAACACATCGCTTGCATATCTAGTGAATAGATTATTATTTCAAAAAGAAGAACAAATAAAACAAAGGGATCTCAATAGCACAAATATAATTGAAGGAAACTTGGTAATATATTTGTACTAGATATGTTTTAGATGATCCTTTTCAATATGCAAAGCATATATAATAGATTGATATCAAAGTTTTAGTTTGAAAATATAGTGCAATTACTTTGCTTCCATATGTTTTCCACTGAAAAATACCCTCTTTTTTTTTTTTTTTAATTTTATTGGCTATTAAACCCAGGGCACTAAGGAATCATAGAGAACAGTAGCCATACACATTGCCATAAAACCAGGTGACTAAAGAACATCAGTCAGACAAGAAAGCTTGACCAGAACCTATCAGCTCTGACCAGAGTTGCCAGCAGTGGGCATTACCAAGGAAACAACTGCCTCTTGACTGATGACTGGAATTATAACCATGTACAGACTCTAGGGAATTATGGCTTCTAATAC